AATTTATTCATCGCAATTTCTAAATGTACAAACAAACATGTTTTGAAAGCAGTTTTGCTATTGTAACCACAATCATTGAATTAAAATAGTAGTTATATAACGAGTATATGAGTGAGTATATGAGTAATTCATAAATAAGTATTCAAGGATAATAAATTGCTAATTACTACGTTTTACAAAAAAAAGGCATAGTGAGGGCCGATTTCACAGTCTCCGATTAACTTGATCCTCCGATTAAACTCACTCTGCATCTCTTTCTAACTGTCCCCTTAGAAAGAGACGAAGAGTGAGTTTAATCGGAAAATCAAGTTAATCAGAGACTGTGAAATCGGCCTGAGGATACAAGATTCATTTTTCATAAGAATAGAAAGTCAAAGTAGATATAGTAGAATACTTGATTGAAAGTTCCAATTCGTGTAAGATTCTCGATTAATTAAATCAGCAACTTGATTCATCTAAAGAATTAAAGAAAAAAGACAATTTCCAATTACTTGTATAAAAATTTAATCACAGGCGAATAATTGTGTATGAATTAAATAGGAAGGATCGGATTTCTGCAATAATTTGGACTCGATACGAAGATTTAGCGAAGATCGAGCATGGAAATTTTAGGCGTAAAATTTGCACCGTTAAATGTACCTCTACAAAGAAGACTACAAACGTTAACTGCCGCGATATGGATATTCATCACCCTTTTCGGTGCTTTTTGGGGTTACATAATCACGGCTTATCTTCTACTCTACACAGAAACAATACGTTACTTCCTGGTACCGTACTTCCTTTGGATGTATTACGATTGGGACACCTGCTATCGTGGCGGTAGAAGGTAATAATTCTACTAATCACACTATTAAAGTAGCCGACACTGTGTACAAATAAAAATTTTGACAATTGCTTGAAGACAATTAATGCAGTACAGTAAATGAATAAAAACTATAAAAAGTCTGTTGTGACATTTATTGAATGTTATATAAGAGAATAATATTAGCCGCGCGATAAAAAAAGTGTTTATAGAAATGATTATTGATGAATTATTAATGTTTATTAAGAACTAACTATGTTTTATATTTCAGTGAATTATGGACAAGAGTGGTGAAAAAGAACGTATTCTGGCATTATTTTTGCAATTATTTTCCGTTAAGATTAGTGAAAACGGTGGACTTAAATCCCAATAAGTCTTATCTTTTCGTTTGTGTACCTCATGGTATTTTCTCGATGGGGATAATTAGTTCATTCGGAACGGACGCATTGGATTGCAAGAAGCTATTTCCCGGACTTGAAATACGTCCAATTACTCTCGATCAACACTTCAAAGTACCTCTGTTCAGGGAATATGTTTATTCCTTAGGTAAAAAGGCTTTTATTATTTTTTCTCTTTATTATAAATTTTCCTCGTTTATAATAAGCAATGAATTTTATAGTAAATGCTTTCGATATCTTTTGCAATACATAAATACATTTATGTGTAGTAATATTATATTAATAAATAACATATGATAATACGTAACGTATTTCTTGTCTGTAAAGAAGATTGTGTAAGTGTGCTCTGAGTTTTCATTAAGAAGAAACGGTTTGATATGTTATTGTAATGATAATTTAAGCGTGGATGCTTCGAAAGAGATATTTTTATATGTAAATGAATCTCGATGATTAAGCATTTATCCCACATTTTACGAGATAAGATTATAACAATAATGATGTTTACGCATACAGGTTTCTGCGCTTCTAGCGTGAGAAGTATCGAGTATTTATTATCAACACCGCCGGAAAGCCCGTATACAGGAAAAGCTACAATTCTTATTGTCGGTGGTGTTTCCGAAATGATGGAATCTACGCCAGGCACTTATCGTATTCTTTTGAAAAGAAGAAAAGGCTTCATAAAATTAGCATTAAAACACGGGTGAACGATTAAAGATATTTGATTACATTTGCATATATAGTTTTTAACGTACACGAACTATATTTTAATGTTCAGCGAAAATCACATTAAAAGAAAATATTGTCTTGCAATTTGTTCAGATAATAGTTTTTATAAAACATGAATCACACGCCGTAGAACAATAGACACTCATAATAATCAATGCGATTCGAATCTAATACAATTTTATGATTTAGTACATCATTGGTTCCTGTCTTCTCCTTTGGTGAAACGGATTTATACAATCAAATATATCGTCCAGAAGGATCGACTTTTAGACGTATACAGAATCATATTCGCAATCTCATTGGCGTACCACCCGTCGTTTTCTCGGGCAGAGGGTTCTTTCAATATTCATTTGGCCTTATTCCGAAGCGATTACCTGTCACCGTAGTCGGTAAAGTTCTTTTTGTGTTTATACAATTTTTCGTATTTATATTTATATTTATTTGTATTAATAAAATTATTTTAAATTTCATGTTTTACTTTGTTTTAGTGGGCAGTCCTATCGAACTGCCGAAAATAACGGACCCCACGCCTGAAGAAATTGACATACATCATGAAACATTCATCAAACATTTGGTTGAACTCTTTGAGACGCAAAAGCACAATTATATAAAAAATTCAGAAAAAGTTACTCTCGAACTCAACGTATAATGCGTATAACTTTTTCTGCATTTTTTATATAATTGTGCTTTTGCGTCTCAAAGAGTTCAACCAAATGTTTGATGAATTTGTCATGATACGTACGTGTCAATTTGGTGAAACTGGCCTTTAGAGAGATGCAAAAAGTTTCACAAAGAGGGTGATCTGAATTAGCATCTTAAGGGGACCGGGAGGGTCAGATTTCCAGAAAATCATGCTTGTTTTTCGAAATATTTTGACAATATTTTGACAACATTTTAACAATATTTTGACAATATTTTGTGACAAACCAATTAAATGTGCGCGAAAGTAAAAGAGGTATATTATACATATAAACACTAACATATAAAAAGTAGAAAAAAATATATTTTTTATATTAACAAATACGCATATAAATATATGATGTATATGGTTGAAGTAAATACCGCTTTTCTTTTCAAGATCGTCGTTTTGCAATAATATCTCGGCTCTCGGTAGTCTGATCAAGGCGAATTTTAATTAGAAATCTTGAGGAAGCTTATCATTATCCGATAAATTACTACAAGAAACAATAAATCGAATAAAAATTGACAAAATGGCAGTTATTATTAAGAAAAAATTCAATTTTTTCTGTCCTTTTACAATAAAAAAATTAATATCTCAAAATAAAATATATTTACGGGCTTGTCCATGATTCACCTGAGAGCCAGATGAACGAACATTGCTTTAAAATTAAAATTAATTTGAAGCTTAGTTTCAGAGAAATCACTGCAAAAAGTTACAAAGTAAAACTTGGAGAAAAGCGCGTTTAAATGCGATTTACACATCAATTAATCATACTTTAATTATGATACTTACTTACTTTAATTAATGATACTTACTTTATACAAAAAACTATTAGATAATAATTTCAAAAAATAAAATTTAAAAAATTGAAGATTTGACTCTCCAGTCCCCTTAATGCATCTAAGTTATGTGCATTATATACACATATGTATAAGACTGTGCGTAAACAACAAAATGTTACATTTATCTAAAAATAAAAAAATATATATTATAATATTTGTGTAATAATAATTTATTTTGTATATAAAATAAAAAATTAAGGACGTCAAGAATGATAGGTTATAAGGACGCTGAGATGTTATAAATGCTGGGGGTTCTGGCATATGGCGAAAGAGTGCAAGAAGGAGGAAACGTGTCTACACTGTGCAGGGAGCCACGGATCAGAGAGATGTGTGATGAAGGATAAAATGAATGATATTAAATGCGTCAATTGTATAGCAAGAAATAGGTTCATCAAGGAAGGTAAACTAGATATTAGTCACAGAGCTACAGATAAATGCTGTCCATGTTATGTGAGTGCTCTCGAAAAAGAGAGGCAGAAAACGAAATACGAAAGCGAGTATTGACAACAGTGTAATGGAGTAGAACAAACAAATACAGATATAATGAATAGTTTAATAGTCTTCAATATACAAGGTTTATTACGTCATTATGAAGAAATCGTACATTTTATAATTGAAAAGAAGCCCAGTATATGTTGTCTGACTGAAACACATATAGGAAGTGAGGTGGAGAGCAGTGAAATTGAAATACCTGGATATAATATAGTGAGATGTAACTCTAAGTCAAGAAAAACTGGAGGGGTTATAATGTATCTGAAAAAGTAATATATTAAGTATGAAATATTGGACAATAGGGAATGTGAATTGAATCTGTGGACAGTTACATTAAATTGTATTATTGATAATGTTTTAAGAAGTGTATTACGACCGTGTATCACTCACCCGGAGCTAGTAATGCGGACTTTTTGAGGCTCCTTGAGGAGTTATGTAATAAAATAATCTCACGACATAGTATGGTAGTAGGCGAC